GCCTGAATACTAAATTAACTTTAAAAACTATTCGACCTGACTAAAAACCCTATAATAATAAAATATAATTTATATACAATTTTAAAAATGTACATTTATAACGAAACTTTTCTTAGGAAATATTTATATTATAAATTTAATATCTTATAGTTAAATTATCTAATACCAGATTTTATAATTTGTATAGTATTTGCATAGTCTAACGATAGTAGTTTTTGTTTATGGACGTTTGTTTAAAATGTATTTAACAATATTTTGGTAAGTATAATGTAAATTAATAATTTATTACTATCGTCCCAACCGTCGTTATTAGCGTAATGGTCTTAAGTTTTCAGAGGATAACTTTTGAACAACGTGGTTAACAATGAAATTTTCGACACATTACAAGTAGTTCTCAGATGTGCCATACATTTATAAACTTTAGATCAACAAAATTTTACTGCATGTAAAATTACAACTTTGTCAAATGTTATGGTCTGTAAATACTTTTATGCAATTTTAAGGTAGTTAGTGAAGAAGCAAAATTTTGAACCCCTCTTGAAACAAAATAAATTTTGTGTTTTTCTGTTTTAAGTGCCAACTTCTTCAATAGTTTTTACTTTTTTCAATCCGCTTAAACGTCAGTTATTTACTAACTCTATAGAACATAATGCACACTCAAAATCGTCATTAAATATATTTTAGTAACATATTTTGTAATCAATAAAATTTGGCAGCTTATGACCCAGAAAATACCACAAAGGATTACTATAGTATTAATGTTTTTATCGACGATTCTAAAAGTTTGGCTGTACGTTAAATTATGAGATTACATAATAATTTGGCTATTTATATAGTAATGTATTGCCAACTCTGTCGAATAGAGGAAAAATTTCATCAAATTATTAAAATAGTTTTTTCATAAAAAAAAAAGTCAACCCATGAACAAAAACAATAGTTGGGTTTAAATAGATTTATTAAACTCATTTTTTATTGTTTACGATATAAAACATAAACAGGAATTTTGTGTAAAGTATGCATATTTTGAAAGGTTACCATAAAATGTCAATTATTGGTTTACAATATATTATTTTTTTAAGCATACAACAGATTTTATAACATCAAAGCAAACGCAACCTCTTACAGAGAGGTTTGGTCTGCATAAGAAATTAATAATAACAATAAACAATATATTTCTTGTGCAAAACGTATTGCTTGTTGAAACTACACAAACGGTCCATATAATAATTTCATATAATTGAAATGAATCGGAATGCTTTGTTCTATAAAAATAAAATAAAATTTGTAAACATATTGAACAAAAACTTTCTTATACGAACAAAATACTGCCGTTGTGTAGTCAAAAATAACATTAATATAAGCCTTTAAAAATCTAAATATTAAAAAATGTATAATATTTAATGAGATACTATTAAGAAATTGAAATGCTATCCAAAATATTTGACAACCTACATTGTTATAGTTTTGTTAAATGAATTTAGTATGTACATTCATAAATTATTCACGTACTATTATCTTAGATACAGAAAACAATTCTCGCTAACATAACATCACATAACATATTACTTATCGGTTTGATAGTAAAGAATAAATATAACATTTTTAGTTTAATGGTATTTACATAGTTGAAAGTAAATACAAACACAATAAAATAGTAAAAAAATAAGTGAAAATTATTATTGAAACTAGAGAAATATTAGTACTAAATTATTTTATTATTATTTTGCAAATGTTATGACTTGAATAAATTTGTACTCTTCCCTAGTGAAATTATTTTATATTATTTATTTACTACTTAAACTATACAAGCCTTATTGTTTACAACATTTAAGAGAATTCTATATAAAATTTTAACACCAATTCCGAACCAATTAAATTATTATAAATAACTGAACATTTTATTTTTCAACTTATATATTATACTTTAACGCAGCGAAGGGTAACAACTACAATTATCCTATGATTACGACTGATCCTATCTAAATCAAATATAAATAAAATATAAAAAAATAATTTGACATAGTTATGTTAACTAACATTTTTCTATGTCAAATACATTATATCATTAGGCTAAGAAGGTACATGTTTTCTTAAAATGGTTTTTTCTCATTTTCAGAAGTGTAGACCGTCCTCTCAACTGTCTTTTCCTACGGTAACGGCGTGTCAAAACTTATTCCCTATTACTCCTTTTCTTTCGTCATGCCTTGCACCATTAATAAGTTAAAATAACTCAGACGCTGAACAACAACGCAAACAATAAACAATAAATCACATTAATACTCACTGTTGTTTCTTATTTAGTTGCTTTTATTATTTCATGTTATTCTAAATCAATACTAGGGGGGGGGGAGTAAAGCATGTCTGTTTATTTTTATATCTGGTTAATTATGAGCCGCTCCACTACTCCCACCCTTAAATAAATGTGCTAATATCTTTTAAATTACTTATTCAAAAGTTGCTATCAATCAGTCATTATATTAATTTGATCATTATCTTTTTTTTAAGCTAATTAAACGTATGTTCCTATTAAAAAAAAACTGAATTTTATTTAATGAAGAGAGATAGTACCATTTTTTTAAATTATAACATAACATATTATTAATTTTCGAAAAGAAAAATTATAATATACTTTATACTTTAAATGATATTGCGCAAGTCATAGTTAATTAATCACCCTATATATTTATAATTATTTTTGAAATTTAAATTATTTTGTTATTTTGTTTTTAAGTCATTTTACTTTAAATTTAATCAAGTACGTAAAAAATAAAGTCAGTTTATTTAAGTTTAGTGGCTGATTTATAAATATTATTAATTTATACTCACAAAATCAAATTTTTGTTTAAAGATTATAGCTGATTATTTACAAACAACAAAATTAGTATCCAATTACAAAGTATCAAAGGAATCTAAGAGTTTTCAGAGGATTGTTTTGAAATTACGAATAAATAGCTTTTGTTTCGAGCAACATATTACTAAACAACCGAGAGCCTATTTCAAATTATCATCACAATGTAGTACAGACTACTATTAACTCAGTACAATTGCATTTGTTAAGTTTAGGTTTTATATAAAGAAAAAGTTCATTCCAAACCAATGATACTGGTATTTATGATGGATGATGAAACTCCTAATTTAATTTCAAACTTACAATTGTACAAAGTTTGAAATTTGTCAGTTCTAAGAAGAGAACTACTTTAGGTAGAAATGAACGCTATGAACACTTTACAAAACTCTAGAAAACATTTTTTACTATTAAAAACGGGCATTTAGGTAACTGTTATTAATGATTAAATTTAAAAATAATTAAAATATAAAAATTGATAATATATAAAATTATTTTAATCTAAAATTTTTAATTAGTTTTATTTATTAAATTTAACGTAATCAATGTCTTGCAAAACATTTATTGCATTTTATTAAAAAATATTCAGTTTTTTTTTTTGTTGTCCAGGGACGTAGTTTATTATTATTAAATAATATTATTATTATTAATCGTGTTTAACACCCTCTCTAAAAGCTATTGTTTTTGTTAGAGAAGACGGGAAAACCTGAAATAGCATAACGATATCGAAAGTCGGTTACTACGCATCGAGATATAAAACGTTACTGAGTTGAGTAGGCCGCCCCTACTTAGTATTTAGAATAAAAAAGAAGGGCTTGAGCCAATGAAAAAGTTTTAAACGCTTTTAGTGTATATCTGTTAAAAAAAATTATAAATATTTCAGTTAATTTATTCTTATGTATAAATATTCTTATTTTATATGCTATTAGATTCTTAAAGTAACGAAAGCTACATTGGTCTTACCATAAGTTGTCTTTTTTTACAACTATATTGCTAAAAATTTGATTCAAGAAGCTTATTTTTCTTTTACTTAAGATGTTGTCGCTTAAGATACAACATCTCTGTCTCATTTTTCAGGAACTTAACTTATCAGGAAAGCGATAAAGTAGTTAGTAAGTGTTATGAATATCATATTTTTGACAAAAAGCTTTTTTTTATTTCTTTCAGACGACAAATCGATTTCCTACGATATTTAATACAAAAAAATGGTGCTAATCAATTAAGTCGAAAAATGAGATATGAATTGTTACATCTTAAGCGACTATGTAAAATTACTCTAGGGTTAATTTTTAAAATACCTAATTTACTTTTATATTTTTTCTATTAATAATTATTGTTTTTAGTTTTTTGACATTTAGATTAAAATCGTGAAAAAACATTTCAGAATTATTATTATGAAATAAGTAGTTAATTTAAGTAACAGTTATTAAAATTAACGATTTATAAACACTGAATTATCTACATCAAAATAGCCGACTAATTTAATAACCTCTCTCTATTGGCTGTGTAAATTTTTATCAATGTCCTTTCTCTTTATTCTTTATTATAGTCCCATATTTTATTTCGTAAATTTGAATAAATTACCTAACGGAAAATTCTATCTCTTCCCTTCCCAAACAATTCAATATTATACTGGGAGCTACAAATATTTGTATGAAGTCTGAATCATCATAGCTCTTATGCAAACGACTTCAAGGTCGTATTTTTTAAGAAACACAATATATTAAAATTTCGAGTTGTAAATATTTTTAATCACTAAATGATAATTAAATATTTAATTTAATTACTAATACATTTCACATAATAACGAAATATATTAACAATTGATTAATAGAGATATATACTTCAAAAATTCAAATACCAAAATAAAAATCATGCTGAAATTTTGTTTTTTAAAGTTTTTTTTTTTAGGTTTCATATGGATCTCGGTTATGACAGATTTCAATTTTCAAATTATTTAGGTTTTAAAAATAGTTCTTAAGGTTTTGTTGCCTAGTTCTGAAAATTATCTTTATTACTGTATAATCACATATATCATTATTTTTAATGTCTAACGGTGCGAAAAAAGGTTTTAGGATTTTCCAAAATAGGCAATTTTTTCTATGTTTTATAAAACTTATTTATAACTAATTCTATTTATTTTATTTTGTTTTAGAACGAGACTATTTACAACGCCTTTAGTTCAATAACGGCGGATTTTCCAGAGTATGCTGAAATATTGTAAGTAAACATATATGATTATTTTAAATAATATCGTACAGCACGTAGTAAAAATATGTAAACTTTTATTTATTTACCAACTCAACATAAAGAAGTAGAGGTTAATTATTAAATTTAATAGAAAGATAATATTATATAAGAGTACTTGTACAATTATATAAGTATAATAACATTTATAAATAAGTAACTTTTGAATTGACAACAAATCAATCTATGGACTAAGAAAAGTGTGCTTTAAACGATTGGGTATGGGTTAAAAATTACCTGTACCTGTTTGCTTATCATTTTTTTTTACTATGAAAATCATAGAATTTTAAAAGAATTATGTGGACATATAAAACTATTAAAGGGAACCTGTATTTCAATAATTCATAATTTATAAGTTTTAAATCTGGATAAAAAATGCATGTTTATTTTTTGTGTTTAATATAAAAATAAAATGTAAAGCTTTAACAAGGAAAATGTATTTCCTAGTGAAAAGTCATCTTAGTATTGACGCGTTTAAGATTAATCTCTGTTTTATCCGAGTCTGTGGAAAAATAAGAACTATACTTTTAGCTTATTTTATTCTGGTAAAACAAGACATTGAAAAAGTGGTTTATTTGCCACAGTAGCCTACATAAATATACTTTATAGGGCCCAGTAGAAAACTCCATCAAACAAAAAATTAACCAATACCCAAAATCCATGATTTCAAAAGATTAATATTACGTCTTTCTTTAACTACACTATCTATTTTCTTAAAACATTTTATATTTCAAACAATTTATAGCCCTCCATTTCCAATGGACATAATATTTTTAAAAATGTGACAATATCGTAAAAATAAAAACAGTACATATTGTTTTGATAAAATTAATTCTTTTAAACATTTACACAAATTTTTTTTTATTAATATTATTACTATTTAACTTTTTTACTGAAAAGATTATGTTAACATGACTTGAAAACCCTTAATGAGTTAACTTTTTGTTAGTTATTTAAATAATTAACTATACATTTATCATAAGGTATTTCACAATTTACATCAAAATAGAAGTTTTGATTTTGGGCAAAAATTAAAACTTATGTTTTTAATATAAATCATTAGCTATCACTTATTTTTAAAGTATTAATTATTTTTGTATAGACAAAATAATATTAAAACATAAAAACAGAATTAGATAAAACGTTGAAACAATTTAATTATTTTAATTATTCACCCAAATTGTTTTATCTTAGAACTACTTTAGCTTTTAAATTGAAAAAAAAGTTATTGAATATTGGTTAATTTTATTCATCATCACTCAAAAAAATATTCCAATAAAGAAAATCTTTTTTCCCTGCTTCTTTCAGATAAAATACAAACTTAAGTTTTATACTTCAATGGTTGAATAAGTTTTTAATGCTCAATTTTGTAATTTACGTTTTGATGTTTAATCCAATTTCCAAGGAATTAAACACAAAAGTATTTTAATAAAAATTGTCGTTCGAAATAAATATATCTATTAAACAATGACAGTTTTGTAATTTAATAATTTTAAACCACAAAATCTAAATATAGGTTATCTTTATTCAGAATATCCTGATGAAATATTGTGGCCTCAGGAAAGATTATGTGATAGCAGTAAAACGAATAATAGCATTGAACGTGTAAGAAGTAATGCATTTGAAAAAGGATGTTCCGTGTGAATTATCTAGACTGCTGTGAAATAATATAGAGATGTTGTGGTGTTAGTTCGTGAAACTAAATAAAACCCCAATTAATTATACTTCTTTCAAGACATCAGCAGATCAAGAACACTTTTGTTGTTGACACTATACATATCCAAAAATTCCAAAAAACAATGACTTATTTTTTCTTTATATATATATATATATATATATGAAGAATAAATTATCAATAATTCAAAATTTACTAGTAATAAAACTCACAATCAAATATACCCAATAATACAGTTTTTTTTTTATAAATAAATTAGGTGATTATTTAAAGACATATATTGTATTCAAGTTGAAAGAATAAATTTAATATTGCGGTATCAAAATGTTGGTGTTTGTTGTTACATTCATTCAGCTTGTATATTACTTATAAAAAATAATTAATCATATATATTTATATGATTACTTTTAATAATCTCCAGAATTCTTTTAAACTAAAAGTCAGTATAAGGTTAAATATCCAATCCTTTAATAAAAATCGATCATATATTTCGAATATAAATTAATTATATTATATTTGGAGAAGTCTGAATATTGAACAAAATAATTCACTGTGGTTGATGACGAAACCGGATATCACTAAGTTGAGGTCACTATAGTTCTAATTGATAAACATAATTTGATTGTGGCATGGTTCTGGATTTATAATTTTCAACGCTTCTACCACTATGAAAATCAATTTTGAAGTATATGACATTTGTCAGTACAATAAGCTGACAAGAGGATTTAGGAACTTATAAAAGCTAGTAGTTATATCTGCTTCGAATAATTGAATTGTCAAGCGTCCGAAAACGAATTGATAATCTAAACGGTCCTACAGTGTTGTTGAGGTAGATAAATATGCTGCAATCAAAATTTCTCTAAACTTTACGTAGAATTTCCATAAATAAATTATAAATTGTTTAAATTGTTACTTCAAATTTAATAGTATATCATTGAAAGTTGTGATTTTTATTATAAAAAAAAAAAGATATTACCAATATACTTTTTTTATTAATCGAACAATGTTTCCAGATTTGAATGAATAAGGTTAACTCAATATATTTAATAAGATTCAATAACTATACATTTAAAATTATAATTTTTTTTATTTTAAATGAACGTTGATAGAAGAAGAGAAAGATCGAAAAAGAGGTGATTTGATGTAATTAGAAATGACATGAGGTGATATGATGTTGTATGTATAAATGATGTGAGAGATGGTTTCAAATGAAAGTTTAGGATACGGATGGCCGACTCCAAGTAATTAGGTAAAAGGCGAAGGAGAAGAAGAAACTAAGATCTTGGGTAAATAGACCCCATATCAATACTATACCATAATCTTCTCTGTAATATAAGTATAATTCATAAAAAAACGAACCTTAAGCGTAGTCTTATTTAATAAAAATTTAAGTTCCATCTAAGAGTTAATGTCAACCATTAGGTTGGTTTATACTAGCAAATTTTCAAAATTAGGCAGGCGTATCCTGGGAATTTACAGTAGTTGAGTACAGTGGTTTTGTGCTTATCTGCTGTACTAGGGTACATAGTGTTTGCCGCCGATAAAATTGATGAGTAGTACGTACCCATACAATAATTAACAGTAGTAGGTGAAATTTAATTTCAGAGCCTGACAGTATATAAAGTATACACTGCATCATATTACAATAGTGGTATGAATAAAAATTCATTTAGTAAAAAATCTTAGTTTTTCTGTTTAAAATGTATAAGTATTAAATTTAAGTAGTTTACTTGTTGAAATTAAATATTTATCTTTGATTTAGGTAAGTAAAAATTTATTGCATTTAAAATATATGGTCTAAACTGGAAAATTACCCGATCCAACAGTTAATTCAATGATAATTTATATACTCAGTAAATAATTATTGATAACAAATAAATATTAAGTCCTCAACATATACAACACTTAATATTTAATTGTTTAATGAGTTATTTTCTTAAAAAATCTTAAAAAAATTAACATCAAAGTAAAGATGTTCACTTTATTTGATATAAATTCTTGTAATAATTTTTGATAGGACATTTTATTAGTCCAAACAAATTGTTACTTGGATTTAGACAGGTTTGTCTGAAATTCGACCTCAGTCGATATTTTATAGCTGAGGTATGAAGATTGTACAAATTAAGTAACTCTTCTCTTAATGCTCTTAAAACAGACTTATAAATCAATTCGCTATACACATTGTGCTCTTAACCACCGTAGTTAATTTTAAGAATATAACAAAAACTAAGCGAATAGCTTAAGAAATGGAAAATTACATTTTGGTTTTTAGGTTATGTTTTAAACCATATAGTGGAATTACCTGTTCAAATACTGCTCATATTACATGTTAATATTCAATAAAAGAGAATTGTAGATAATACTGAGCGCAATAGGAAAAATACACGGTCGAGCGTATTTCAAAGCAGTTAGTATTAAGTTCAAAACCATTTCATCGTTAATGCGTTTGACATACAATGGTAACATATTCCCTGAGTGAATTTTCAAATTCTGTTACATTATATTACGTCACTGATATTTATTATTACTAAATATTAAACGATTGCACATGTATGTGAAACATTTTTACACAATCAAACTTTTTTAATGAAATAGAAATAATGACAAAGACAAACATCGAATTAAAATCCAAATTCCTATATTTTTAAGACATTTAGATCATTACTACTTATTTATATTATACAAGAGAAATTTCTAAAATAAATTTGTATTTTAAATATAATATATATAATGATAATTGATCACTTGTAGCTAATATTATGTAAAATTGAAAAATATTGAAAATAGCCACAAAAAAATTCCTAAAAATTCGCAGATACGTATTTCGGGAACTATGTTACACATCACATGATGTCAGCATGTGTTTAGCGATAATACCGATAACGTGGTTTTCGAAATACGTATCCGCGAATTTTTAGTAATTTTTTTTTTTAGGCTTTTTGAAATAAATATTTTTATTATATTTTACTTTTAAAATAACGTTTTTAATGCAGTTTTTATTTTAAATGAATAAAATATCTTGATTAACCTCTATGGTAATTGGAGGAATATTTATAATTTATCAATATTTAATGCTTTTAAAACATAGTTATATTTATGAATTGGCTAGATGATTGCAAACCCTTCGAAAATTCATCCGACCAGCTATTTATTACAAAAGATGGTACTTTTAGACATTTTTTGAAAAAAAAAGATAAAAGAACACTTATAATAAAATAATGTCAAAAATGTATAAATATATCCCTGTTTACAATTAACTTCAATATTATTGCCTTATTTTTTGATTCATTGAAATTTTTATGATTGCTACCTAGATTATACGGCGATAAATGTATGCAAAAGTAATACACTGATGTATGTAAGCCAAAAAGATGTTGCACTAGGTTTAAAGTATCAAATAAATGAACTGATTTACAAAACAGAACGATGAAACGTTAAAACATTCAAGTTACACTTACAATGTAAAATAGTTCACTATCATTTATGGTGAAAAAATTCAAAGGAAAAGCTTCTAAAGTTAAAACAATTTGCAGTGAGAATTAAAAATAAACCATAATAAATGAGCGAATTCTTTATACTAATTGCATTTATAACGCAACCACACAACAGTGCGTGGGATAACGAATAAATATGACTAAGCTGAGTGAGAAAGAGCTAGAGAGAGATAAATAAATAGATAGTGAAGAAAAACAAGAACCTTCTGACACTGATTGATGATGGTGTTTTACTACATAACAGTTTCTTTCTCTTTCTGACTCGAGATATCTTTCCTAAAACAGTTTCTTTAGAGAGATATTGTATGCTTATTGACATTTTAGGACACCTAGAAATTTCAATAACATCAGTAGTTTTGATAGAAATCTTCTAGTGATAAAACATAGCATAAAATTCTGTTTCTTGCTTAAATGAATTCTTTGAAAAGATTGACAGGTTTCTTTGATGGTCATTAATAGTTAGAACATTTACAAAGGAACACATTGATTTTTTAATAATACATTCTTGTCTTTTCAAAAAGTTCTTTTGACTAAGAAATAAGTAAAACCTTTCCGTTGGTAAAATATTCTATAATGCATAAAATATAACAAATATCTCAAATAAAAGACTATCTAAAATAAAACATGTTTATGAATGAAATGTTACACTCAGTATTTTATAAAAGTTACATTCTATGTAGCGTATGAATTTCTAAATCGTAAGAGTTTTGGTGGAACATCAATTTTTTATACAAGTAGTGGAAAATATTTTCTATGGTTCCTTATTTTGTTTTACTTGTTAAAATGAGATAAAATGTAAACATGAATATAAATATAGCGGGAAATAAAACAGTAAGAATAGTCATAAGTATAAGTCATAGTATAAGAATAGTCATGATTAAAATTATTTTAGATAATATTTACTGAATGTACTAAAATATATAAAATAGTAATTGGCAAGTAGCATTACAAAATTTTTTTTTTAAATGTTAAAATACAGGGCAATTTATAAATAAGTTATAATGTGTAACTTTTATACAATATATAATACATGAAAATTAAAATTTCATATTGCTTATACAGTTTTTCATAAAAAAAATTTGATTTTTACTGAATATTTAACAACATTTGTTTCAGGAAAGAGCTCCCAAATAACTTCACTAGTTCTGATGTCAGGTTATTGGAGATAATACACCTTAAAGCAGAAAATCTAACAGGTAAATTATATCTGTACTATTTTCATGTGAAAATGAATATTTGTAGTTCTATAAATCGGTTAATATATTTTATTTACAGAGAAAATTTATTGTTTAACTTGTATAATAATAAAATAGATTATAACCCAATAGCTTATAGTTAATGATAAAGGATTCATTCATTAGTTAAAAATCAATTTTTAATTGAATCATCATTTTTTGTGAAAACAAAATAGTAGATTGACCTAAATAATAGAGTGGACAAAAAATACATTACTTACAAAAGTAAAGGTATTTCATTTTGAGCAGTTGCCATAGTTACAATTAGGTTTAACATTTATCACGCTGTTTGTAATTAAATAACACGTGTTTCTTGATACTAATACTATTGTTATTCGTAGTTTTGTGATTTTTCGTTTTAGCGCCACAACAAATAAAACTTAAAGTAATTGTGTTTTTAATGTTAGATTTCGTATATGATATAAGACTACAAACAAATTTTCTATGTTTTCAATTTAAAAATAAATAACTATTTAAAACTATTTCCATACCATTTAAATATTTAAGTTAAATGAGTTTCTAACATTATTAGCAAATAAAAATAAAAATATTAAATTATAATTAAACAAATTCTCATTAATTGTACACACAGTATAGAAGAAAAATAATCAAGTTTACTATCGTATGCAAACAATTGGAATAAAATCATATAGACATGATTTATTATAATTTAATTTGTGGTACAAAAGTAATCACACCGTGGGATATTTTACATAGTTTGTTTGGAATTAAAATTTTGATTTATGTTTCAAACCATTGTAGGCTTTGAAAAATATACTCTACGCATATTTTCCAAACAGCTGCTATCCCATCTTATGATGTCATGTAAACAGAGCGACATGTTGTTTCATAGTATCATCATTATTATGATAATATTGTATTATGGTTAATCCATCAAGACAACAAATGACGTTTGATATTTGCGATGTAGAGTAGCAGGTGCTCAACGATTTGACCGACTACGAATATGAATATCTTGTTCTCTATGCTATAAATATAGTAGAGTTAATACTTAGGTGCTTTAGTGTGGGTCGTCCCTACTTTCGGATATCGTAATTTATCGACAACAAAATGCCAAAATAAGGTCGATAGACATATTTAGGCCGTTAGCTGCCAATATGGGTTTGCCAAACTTATAATAATAAATTCAATTTTGTACCTAAAATGGAATTTCATTTCTAACTCTTTGGCCACGTGCTTTCATTTCCATCTCTTTAGTTTAATAACTATTTACTCCTCGTGATGTCTATTGCCTAAAAATTTAAAAAATATTACCGTCCTGTTCGAGAACATAAAATGGTATAATACTATTATTGTTTTTGTATTCTCAAAGAGGATACAAATAGATAATACACGCATCAGTTGCTTTGGTAAAGTTAATCATAATAATGTCATGAAATTTAATAAACAATGGACAAGCATACCCATCGGTGTCGGGCACACGTGGGTGTGTTTGTGGATACATGACAATATGCAGAGTTATGTAAATTGAACAATGTTATCGGGTAAACGTTTTTGCGTCCTGTCTAATGTTATACTTTATTATTTTTAAAATAACAAACTCATATTTTTTTTTAACTCGATAACGCTTACGCCGTAAGCTATTACTGAATATATAACCACAGCCACAAGTTTGTATTTTTTAGAAAAAAAAGCTAAACATGCAAACGTTTTAGAGACAAATGAAATTGCATACATTTAAAGTTTTTTTTATACATTATTTTTGGTAGGATTTAGACAGAATACATTTTTAAGTAGAGCTTAAGATTTACCAATCGATTAAAAAACATACTATTATAAAACTGAAAAATGTAAGGTAAACATTTTATAAATTACATAATTTTTTGCATTAAACGTTATAATTCTAATTAAAAATGTTATAATAATAATTCCATTAGAAAATATTTACTTATATCTGAAATGGTTAAATCACCTTTAGAAGTAGTATTAATATAAAATTAATACTTATTAATAAAAAATAAAATAGCGACATATTGGTTTAATGGTCAGACAAAGAATAATTTTTTACTAATTTTCAGTTTAAATATTGAACATTTCTTAACGGTTTTATACTACATATAATGTGTGGGTAGTGAATAAAAATTGTCAATTACGAGAATACCTACAAAATATTTAGCGATAATAATTTGATTCGTAAAGTTTATTTTAAAAGTATCTTCATAAATATTTCATAATTATTTTAGTGAATTTCATTTTTAACTTTAACTAAGTAAGTTAATTTTTAAATAAAAACCTAATATAAACATTAATATGAATACAATAGTATAAAAAATGTGTTGATGAAATTTTAAGTAAATTTTTAATTGTCTCAAATGGGTTTTCTTATTTGAATATAAGGGTCCAATCATTTTATATTTGTTTGTTTAATTAAAAAATCTCTTGAATAATATGCAGATGAATAATTTTTTTTTTTCATTTCTTCGGGGTTAAAAAACTTAAACTTTAATTTCTTTAGTGGAAACCCCTATTTTTAGTTAAATTATATAAAAGGAAAAATTTAAAAAATATTTTGTTCTTACAATATTCTTTATTTGATGTACCGTTTTTCTGTTACTGCTCATTAAAGTTAAATGATATTTGACCAATTTTCTATTAATATTTGCTTTTTAGCATACAAAAGTCATTACTTCATCATGATGACACATAAGTAAGTTTTTTTTTTGTTGACAATTCTTGTTATCACATCTGTCACTTACGATATTAAGAATGAATACCGATGATAATTTATTGAAACAGATTATTATTAACTCCGGTGTTATGAAAACCAAATTAATAAATAATTTTAATTTTAATCCAAATCATAAACAATCTTAAAACACAAACAGTTGATCGGATAAAAAAAAGTATATGATCAAATATTTTAAGATCATATTAAAATAATCTTAAAATTAAGTTATAGTTTTATATCCTTAAAAGAATGAAAAAAAATGATACAAGTATACATTTTTATAGATTTTTGAATCCAAACAATGTATTTCTTTATAAAAATTGAATATATTCAATAATTCTGGAAAATTAGTGTCTTATATTTAATCGATCACCTTGTATACAGAGTGATTGATTTATTATTTACCATTAAATTTTTCTAAAATAATAAGAATTCAAAGGATTTTTTTTTTATTTTATTTAATATTATTTATTTCTTGATTTATAAGTGGTTAAAAATTTTTAGGTTTATCCCTTATAAGGGACCTAATTTAATTTTTTTTTTATGGAAATATACATATTTAACTAATTTATATAATATAATATAATTCAACTAAGAAAATTATTGGTTTATGTCAGTATATTGGAAGTTATTATGACTTTTAAATATAAACTGGAAGTTAGATGAGTATTATATTATTTTTATCGTTATGCTAATCTTTGCCGCACTAGGAATAAAAATATTTATAATTTGAAGCATTTTTTATTATTATTTAACTGGTTTTATAAATGTCTGTGTTACTATTAAAATAATAAAAGTTTAAACTCATATAACGAAAAGGTGTGGGTATTAAAAGTATTTAACCTCTTAAAATTCGAGAAGTAAATAACATTTAAATAAGCCAAATAAAAATTTTTAAACTTATTATTTTAGAAGAAATCTAATGGTTACTAATAAGTTAATTACTGTATATGTATATATTTTTAATTAAAACTATTTATTCTATTTACATTGTTTTCTTTTCTAATTCAATGAGATTAAATATACTTTTAAAAAGTTGAGTTATAACATTTGAATAAAAATAAAAAATTTTTAAATGACATCTTTTTTATCTGTCAGTCTCACTTTTAACTTTTAAATAAATAATAATTTAAAAGTACATACATTGAATTGAATTTGTGCCTATAAAAAGTTGCAATTATCTTCTCTGTGTAATTCTATCCTATTTGTTCATTTATGAATAAATTGAAAACTTCTCTTTATCAAAATCGAAGTTATTCGATCCCTTTTAATTCACATAACAATTATTTTAATATATTTTATACACTACATAGTGAGTATTTTATTTGAACTACAGATGGTATTTACTTTTGATTATTAAATTCTCTCGAGATATCTACGTTGACTCGATTAAAATTAGTGATTCTCGTGCAACATCTTGCAAATAGAATATTAAACTGTTGGTGAACAAAACGTTTTTTATTTAGACGGATGTACTTCGTTTTTACTTTAGGTTGGAAATATCTTTCTTTCACAATTTTCAAATTTTTACATTTAGATTTATTCTAAAATTGTATGCTTATGATTTAAAAAAAGTAGGTAAAGATTTGCGTTTGTTTTCGATTGATAATTTTAAATAGAAACAATAAAAATAGTGTATATTTAAAATCCAAAGCATAGCTAGAAATTAATTACTTGGCATTTCATGAAAATAAATTTCCTCATTCTCATTATACTTATATTAAAAATAAATAAATTTATTTTCTTTGTCTAAATAATCCCAAGCTTAATCAATTGATACTTTCTTTTTAAGTACCTAAACATGACAATTTAAAGCACTTAATCACAAGTACTCGATTTGGAGAATAAATGTTGCTTATTGTGACATTTTTGATGGATTTTCTACTGTTTATCTCTAAAATAAAAGAGTAAATGAATGGTAATCTTTTAAATGAACTAATTCAATTTAAATTGTTATATCACATTACTTATATAAGAATCGATTAATTACAATTTTAATAGCAAAACGATTATAAGTATTTTATTATAGGCTCAAATTTTATCAAACTTTAAATAATATAACATATTGTTATATATAAAAAAATGTTAAAATTGATAGAAAAATCAAATTACCCTCGTCCAATTTTTTTTTTTGTAACCCACAACTATGTATTTTATAAATATTTATGGGGTATACTTATAACTAGCCAAAACAATGAAGAGGTATCTTCATCAGAGTTTTGACAATACCAGAAATTTTCTAAAACGCGGTAAATAACACATGGGATTGTAGCACAAAAACGACAAAGCAGAGCTTTGTCAGAGCTACCAACTTATTTTAAAAATTATTTTTACCGACAAACTGGTTCCTCCTTCTTCTTTATTTCATTTTCGTTCTGTTATATTATATACTAGTAGAACTATTTAAATTATATAGATTAGTTGTAAGATGATTTATAGATCAATTTGTATTTATATTCTTAATTTTAAAATTGAATATTGATTAACATCTATCGTTATTTATTTATAATAAACCCAACCAAACGTTTTATACACTTTTTATCATACCACGAATAAAAAATATATTTTTGTTGACCTTCAAATTGATTTGTAATAAATTATATTTTATGACAAACATTTTCAAATCATTTTTACTGACCATCAATTATTATATTTATTCTAATTTAAGAGAAACAAACTTTATTTACTTTCAATTTTGTTACGTTTTGTTTAATAATAATAATCATAATAATGGAAATATGAATAAACATTATGTTCATAAAAATTTTACTCTGATATTAATGAAAATAAATGTATTTAAAAATTTTAATTTGACATACTAATTTAGTATTCGTAGAATTCAATAATAAAATGTACAATAATAAATTATTATTTTCTATTAAAACAATTTATTTATACGAGAATGTTTGAAAAATGGAATAATAAAAAATTTTTCAAACCTTGTTTAAACACAATTCTTATGTTTTAAAATGTGTATGCTATTCAAAATTTGTATACATTGTGTTACCAATAGTTCATAAAGTGTTATGAATCCATATTAACAGTTGATATTATAACGTAAGAGGTCACTAAAAGTTCAGTATGTAGTCAGTGATGGGTCTATTAACAAGAAAAGGTTTTGTGAAGTATATGGAATGCTTTGAAGTGTGGTAATATAAAATCAATATATTACCATAGACTTGTGCAAATTTATTCTCTTCTTTTAGTGAATTAATTAAAGACATCTTAACTGATACAAATCTCGAATCAAAGGTTCTTAATGAACAATTTTATTTTGATCTATTTACAATTTTTTTTATTTTTTCCTTAAAGATACATTGCCTTAGTTTGAAATTACAAAAGTTTCTTGTTTATTATACATTTTTGTATTAAAAATGTGTTATTATACAACGTGCATTATTATGAATGAGACTTTGTTTTTATTCAAGAATTAAAAGCTAATTGGCTAATTTTTTTGGCTGGTAGACAATTTTTATAATAATTTTATACAATTTTGAAAAATAGTAAGGATTAGAATAATTTTACCTTTTAGACCATTTATTTTTTTGAAATTAAAATTTATATTTTTAAATGAAAAAAACAAACCTTTTCGAAAAAATGTACTCATAATTTTTTGGCAGATTGATGATAACAACCTTTTTATTACAATATATCTATAAAATTTCAAAAACTATTTTGTGGCATATTACCTTTTGTATAATATGAATAACAGAAGCACGTACAAATAATAAATAAACATAATAAATTAAAGTAATATGTAAATATATATATATGAGATTTTGTTATTAATACAAACATTTTATTTATTTTGTAAACATGTAAAAAGACATTTTATTCTGAAAATGCCAAGAAGTAATAAGATATTCAATAAAATTTGTATGTCAAACACTTTTTTTAATATATAAATCACGTAAAAAGCCATACAACGGTGGGTTAGTGTAAAAATGCATATATAGGTAAAAATGAATTCGAAAATTGTCATCCAAACAAATTTATGATCTTTTTTATTTTTGTGCATGATTCTTCGTATTTTTGTATCCTTCGGCAATCCTCTTGTTTTCCACGACTTGACTTTCTTAATATTTTTCTTTCCTTTTTTTATTCAGTCACTATAAATATATATCACACTAAGAACTTATACCTGCTTTAGATAATTTGAAATATTATTATTTATTGTGTGGTTTTGTTTTTATTTTTTTAACAGGAGATGGAACAAAAGTAATTGAAGCAATAGGTACGAAAGTTATTCAAGATTGTAGTGACGATCGTTTGATCCGAGCTCTAAAGAGCTTGGGAGGAAATCTTTACCATTTTCTCACCACATTAGACGGTGTTCAAGATGTCTTACAGCTAGATGATGGAAAAGTAAGTTTTTCGATTTTCTCAGGTATATGCTTTTATACTATACATAATAAAAAATTTACCTAATATTAACATGTAATTGTCGTAATTTAAAAAAAGATTTGTTGTAATTTAAATAATAATAAGTAAAAGTGTAGTAGAAATCATATGTGGTATTAAACTTTATGGTAAATGCTTTTCGAGACTCTATCGGTGCAGTGTGGTTCGAAGGTCTGTTATTGCTTGCAATGACATGCACATTAGATTGGAATAATTTTACCTGAATTATGTAATCCTTTAATAATGCAGTTTTTACTTGTGGGATGATATTAAATATACAAACTCGAATAATCACTAATTTGTAGACAATGTCTTTAATAAGTTTATTATTATTATCATATAAAACAATGATAAAAGTCTAGCAATGCAAAATTGACATTAGGAAAAAATTATACAATAAAATATTATAATCAGTTTTTACAGGCACGATTAGCATAAAAAGTATTTTTACAATATTCACGGGCAGGCGAAACAGAGCCGGACGATAATCGCGACGTGCTCGAATCGGGGTAAGATCGAAACATGACAAAACTACTAGCCCAGGGAGGTTCTTGATGCATTTTCCAGGTCCCCTTCCATAGATGTGCCTAATCATCGTCCGGCTCTCATTGGGTTTCACATTTTAGGTCTTTTATAATCTGTTTACATTGTGAAAGAGTTTCTTTAACTATGGACAATAAAGAGTAACATTCGACTGTTTGACATTCGATTATTTAGCGTTTGCATGTGTTGGGAAGGAGAGTTGTGTGTTTGGCTGTTTTAGAGGATAGAAAGTGTTAATTGTGTTTTGTTTTTTATATATAGGGCCTATTACAACATAATCAACCCCAAAAAATTACAATTGATTACTTATGACTATGTGAGTTTATATATTTTTACCTTAATATAAATACAAAATAAAGAGTAATTAATTTTATTACGTACTACAAATAAAAATATTGTATAATATATGACAAGTTATTGATCGTCAATAATAATTAATTTTCTGCAAAATGGATCACTTGAAAACATTATTTACCATGGTTAATTATTCCATAGTAAATATTTGATTTTAATGTTGAATATGTACGCAGTCAAAATAGGTAGTTGATTAAATCAAACGGTTATTTTTGTACTTAAATTAGTTTATATTCGCTTTTGTTTTTCCTAGTCTTAATTAATGTACTTTAACAAAAAAAGTTCCTGTAGCTCTGTATATATTTATCATGATTTTTTATGGAGTTGTGTGTCTTTATAATGGTCTAAACCAATTTTATAATTGCATTAATTCCCGAACCCTAGTTACCACTAAATTAAGAAGTGTCCAAGGCCTGATATTGTAATTCTATAAAAATTATATTTTGGAATTCTTCTTTTTACTTATTCAGAACCATTATGTCAGTTATATTATTAACCTAATCACAATCAGTGATACCTTTATTACTTTTTTATTATAACGGTCGCTATTGCAACATTGTGTAAATTAAAAGGTTCAACAACGTTGAACAAATAGTTTAATCTGAAAGCTAAGAAAAGTGATGCTGGTAAATTAAAGAAAAAAGTTCATAATAATACCGGCGTTCCATCATAGTGTGTTAAATTTTTACAGTTTTATATGGTTTTTTTCTTTAAGTTGACCGATGTACTTGCGTCAGCTGTGTGATGGGAATTTAATATGGTTATGGTAATGTTTTCAGTATGAGATTTTTCGTGTTCATTAAATTGTACCTTACCTTCGTTGTTCATCGTACATCGCCGATTAAAAATCGTTTTGTTCGTACTTAGACTTGAGGGAATGTGACACATGTTTTATCTCATTACTTCTGTCAGACGCTTTTTGTGGGTTCGCGCAATAGCTGAAATGAAACTATAACTCCACATGTACTTTAATTAAATTCGGCTACCAGACAGCTAAGACATACTTCCTTATTTTGTAACATTATATAAAAATTGTTTCGACCTTACCTCGGGATCAAAACTATTCACCATGTTTGAATTGTTATGAACTAACTTGTTGTAAGCGTTAATCACAAATTGTTTTTTTTTGTATTAAGCAAAAGTGATCACACATATACAAGTTTATTTATATATTTCTATATTTATTCATTTTATTTTTTAAAATCATTTTTAACGTCATCTCTAAGAGCTATTGTTTGTCTCAGAAATAATGGTAAAATCTACATAGCCCAGCGTAACGGATTCGAACCTACGCACGGAAGCTTGACACGTTAAAGACTGAGCTAAATAAGCCGCCGACCTAGCTAGATAATACTAAAAGTGACCACTTGTTTTCATCCCATAATTTTAGATGATATTACATTTATGCAAAAAAATTAATTTTTACCTTCGACCGACATAAATTCTATTATTTTGAACAAGTATAATTAATTATTTTAGAGCTGCCCACAGAAAAATCGTGCAGAGAATCAAAAAATTATTGACAACAGTTTAAGCTCTACCCCCCGAAAAGCCACTTCTTTGAAATTTATGTGATAAACTAATTTTTTACTTTAAATTATACTTTAAAAGTATTATAAGCAAGAAGAAAAAGGTATGAAAAATAAATTTATTATACATTTTTATTTGAATTTTAAAAAATTTTCCAAACCTTTCTTTGAAAAAAAATTCATGTATGTAATATTATTAACTATTTGAAATAAGCCTAGAAATAAAAAGACAATACATTTCCAATCCATTGGTCGTATAAATCTAATCTGTCTCCCAAATAACATTTCTGATTTCTAGAATTTCGTTAGAAACAGTTGCCGCAGAATCTATTTTACATTGACAAAGACTTAAATTCAAATTAAAAGATTTGGTAGCTAGGCTTGTATGTTTTGCGTTAGTTTTTTTGTTAGTGACACAACAAATCCCTGGAGGTGAAACGACACCTCTTGTCGTCCCTGATTTTATTTTAAATAACCTCATGGAGTTTGTGTTTTATTTTTTTTAATTTGTTTTAAAATATTTAAAAAATGTTTTAAATGAATAATTTGTTTTTGCTAAACTTTGATATTTTTTTCATGAAGTATGCAAAGTGCTCAAAAAGTAAGGAGAATAGTTGCATTGTTCTTAGTTTTGCTTAAATTCTATTTTAGAATCTATTATTGAAAAATAACAATAATGGTAATGCCAATTTATCTCTAAATGTATTTTTTACAGTATATATTTTATTTTTTTTTAATGTATTCATATTTAAAATTTAACTAATTTTCATTAAAACTATAAAAAAGAAAAAAATTAAGTTAATCTGTCGATTAAAAGCTTTATAAATTTAAATGGTAAAATAAAAAAGTTGTTTATTTTACAAATTTACTGTATGGCGTATAACGATATTGTTTATTAATAAGATAGAAATATTAATATAAACCTAACATTTGAATCCTATAAAATTATTTTGTTTTTATACTATATTATTGTATTATAATCCTTGTAACCTCAAATCGTTTTATATTTTGTACAAAGTAACTTTAAGGTAGTCTTACAAAAGAGTCAGTGACAGCCAAATTATTCACAAAAGGTCGCTATGAAAACACGAATTTCCATGGTTGTGTAATTATTTAATAGGGTACTTTATAAATGGCTAATCTTAACCTATCATGAAACGCTTAACATGAAATATGATGTATTTTTTATATTTAACCGCATATTAAATTCAACGCTTAAAAAATGTTGTGTCATAAATTACTTTATTACTAAAGCTGTTTCATATTTTAAGTTAAAAAATATGTTTGTATTTAATTAAATAACCATTGAAATAAAACAATTACGAGGATATAAAAGTTTTATTCATATTTAAATATTTAACAATTTTTAAGAATTTTTTGGAAACTAATAATTCTGTAAACATTTAAAATTTGAAAAATAATTAGATTCATTTTTTTTACATTTTATTGTAAACTTTAAAATATTAATAAAATAATTATTTAATTTCAAATTAAATAAGGAAAAAAGAAGAAATATTATATATTAATTATAAATAATAAAAGTGTATAATAAAAATGTTAGGTATAAAAAAGTTATATTAGTTATGGAAACATGAGAGAAGACAAAACATTATTGAAATAGAACACTGAGGGCATTTTCATAAAAAGTTAAAATAAATCATAAAGTAGACTGTTCTTCGTGCTTTAATGATTAATTGTGGAACGTGACTAATAATTTTTTGCATAGATTTATGTATACCAATTAGTATTTCAGTAAGCTAAAAGCATTACAAACTTGTATCAATATTTACATTTAATAAAATTTTCATAGGTTTAAGTTTCAATAAATATTTTCGATATTATTTAGATTTAAATTTTCAGTATACCATAAAAAAACTAAAAATATATCTAAATAATTAATGATTCTGCAAAATATAAAAAAAAATTATTAATTGTTTAAAACCAATAATAAATTTCATATTTTTAACATCAAATATTATTATCAATTGTTTTGCCAAATTACCAAACATCTTTTATTATCTTTTTTAACTATCACTGCTTAGTTAAGAAAAAATTTTCACGTTGAAGTTTAAATTGTTATTATAAAAAAGTTCGTGAAAATTAATAAAATCTTAACACATTAACAGTTGAAAAATTCCCATAAATAGAATATTCACATGTCCGCCGAATACTGACGGTCATCGAAAATGTACCAGAAATCATGTACTGGATTAGAATTCGTGACCCAAGACGTCCTGGAGACAAACCTTACAATTAGGATCCGCTCATTTATGATTCAAATCCAGATACATTTCTATATATGTTGATAAAGTGATATGTGACTGAGGAGAACATGGTATCATGTCATACTTCCCCCAAGCCACAAATGGGGTACTTTTACGCCGTTAATAGTCCGAATGTTACAGTAATTCTTCTTGTTGGCGAGAGGGACTGTTTGTTAGATTACCCCACCATAGTGATCCCTTTAAATAATGGGAAGGATTGACCGCTTTTAAAAAACCGCTCAATTGAGTAATTTTAGAATGTTTCTGAAAATGACACATATGTTTTGTTTGAAATAAATAGCCCATTCTTATTTTTATTGTTTTTTTTACTAAAAAATAAAGGTACAATTCCTATTTATTAACTGTATGCGTAACCACATAAAGTTCTGGTAAAAATATATAACAATTTTTATGATGATTTATTTTATATATTTGTTTTTCATATCTAATTATAATTAATGGTAAATAAATTCAGAAATAAACTTTCTCTTGACCTTTTTTAACTAAGCTACTGATTTTTTTAACATACTTCATGATGTGGTGTTAATAAGTTAAACAAAAAAAAAATCATTAACTAAATAACTTCAGAATGATTTTTTTGAAATATAATTTTACAATAATTATGTTTTAAATTTAATATTTAGATGATATTACACCACTACCGGTTTTTTTTTTTTTATAAATATAAGTTTATGTTATTACAAAAAAAATGATTTAAAATTAATTTAAATATATTGCGCGTTGATTTTCATTTTTTATGTAAATTATTGTGAAAATATCTTCAATATTATTAACAAATTATACATTTTAATTTGAAAACTCGATGGTGTAAACGTCAAATTTTATGAAAGTCTAAAATATAGTAATAATAACATTTTTTTATTTATATAAATATAGAAGGCCAGTTCAGATTTTACATGCCGACCCAGTGATGAGCCAGGTGTATTAGATCTAAATCTGCGAACTAGTAGGTCCGATGGGAAATGTGTTGCGCACTTATTGGCTGGGACATTGTCTGGTGTAGCAACTAGATTCTATGGTTCGCGGCCAGACGTTGAACTTGGTACACATCCAAGTGACCCTTCTCTCTACAGGTGAGTTAGCAACAGCTTATCATTTTGTTATTATAAGAAAACATTACATCTAAATGAATATTTAAAGTACATAGTATTATAAAATAATTAAGAAACTTATTTAAATACATAAAATTATTATAGCTACGTACAATACATTATTTCTTTAACAAAAATATGTGTTAATATAAATGTCCAATGACAAAATGTAACACATTTTTTGTTTTCTAAGTACTTTATTAAATGCATGTAATTAAACAGATCAAACGTCAATTAAACTTCATTATACAAAGCTGTAAGGTTATAATTTAACATTATAAACCAATAATTACACAATAACTATACTTAATTAAAGTTTAATATAATCAGAAAAAAAAATTGTATAGAATTATCTAACGTCAAATTATTAGTATGTATAAATTTAGTATCGAAACAAGAAACGGGAAGATTCTTTATTGACAAATGAAAAGAAGTATATTTATAATTATATTATTATTCGAAGAAAAAAAAATCCAGGATTTCGGGAAACAAAGGTTATCAAAAAAAAAAAGAACAATAAATTTAATCTTTGATTTATTTATTAATCAGTAAATAGTGTTGTTAATATACAGGGTGATTTTTTTATCATAACCCACTCAATTACTTGCAGAATAATAATAATTTAAATATTTTTTTTTTTTATTATTATCTTTAGTTACACATTATTCTTGAATTTTTAACTATGTAATACTTTTTAAGTTCATCCCTTATGCCTTGGAGGGTGGTCAACTTTGTTTTTTTAAATGGTAACACATATTTTTAATTCAATAAAATGTTTGAGTTTTTAATTTAATAGTAAATGGCATTTGAATTTTTAATATAACTTTATTAGCTTATTAGATATAAACATTTAAAGTTTCAAAATGTTGAGTTAATATACATGTATAATACACATGGGATTGTAAATACAGGTAGCTAATTAGATTTTTATGACATTGCTGTCTCAGTCACGGATTGTTTATTATCAATTATGATTATCAATAGATATACTTTCTGTATTGTCAGTTAGTGTATTTATAAACTAATAACAATGTGCCTTACTACAATTGATAATAACAATGCTGTGTACCTGCTAATATCGATGTTATAAAAAACCAATTAGCTACCTATATTTGTAATCCCTTGTGTATTATACCTGTATATTAATTCAAAAATTTGAAACTTTAAATGATTATATCTAATAAACGAATTAAGTNATTAGGAATTTAATTTATAGTTAGTCACGTAATTAATAAAATATTTTGTGAATAACATAAAACTTTTTAAATAAAAAAAATTAAACAAATAAATTTGTTTAAAAATAAAAATAAATGTATTTTTACAATAATCAAATAAAATACCAATTGTATATTATTCATTTTTTAATTAAATCGTATTAATTAATTATTAAATTAAATTATATGAAATATATATTAACAAACGAATAAATGATTTATTCATTAAGAGAGTTCTTTCAATATTGTCATGAAAAACGTTTCATAGACGTCTATTATTTTATATAATTTTATTAAAAAAAAAAAGTAAAATATAGCATATATTATAATGGATTTGTACTGTAAATATAAATTAAAAATAACCTTTTAAACAATTTATAACATAGTTTAAGTATGTTCATTTTTTATTAGTCTAGTTTAATATAAAACTAAAATGAAATTATAAATAGAAATTACTCTAGAAAAAAAATCCCTGTTATACAAAATAAGAATAATTTATTTTTTTTCACGGTATTTTTTTCGCCATTATTATTTAATGGCTTTTAAAAATATAAATAAATTATTCTATTACCGGTGGCAAAATTATAATCATAACAATCTCGGGAGACCCATTTATTTTGACCGATCCAAATATCATTATTTGTATGTCTACTGTAATGTAATATGATTTTTTTTCACTTATCATATATAAGCGGAGGAATGTATATAGATCATGTATAAATTGTTAATGCAATATTCATTATCTTTCAATTATATATATTTTTAGTAATATTTTATTTTTAAAAGTATGCCCTATTATAACAATACAAGTTTTTACCCTACGTATAAATTAATTTTTATTAAACAGTTTTATATTAATACAAGTTTTAGTAGAAGTTATTTGGTATTTAAATTTAAAATATTAACATTTTAATACTTTAAAATATTTATTAAAAATTGAATAGTGAATATCTTTATGATATTTCTTTAAAAAATAATAACATTTTTCACAATCTTTTTGTTTTCAATTGAGTGCCTTTATTTGTAATTATGTTATTATCGCATGTCTATAAATAATATAAATAAAAATATAATCTGTTTTATCTAAGCTGAATTAGCTATTCGGAAGACGCTTTAGACAATATGTCTGATTAACGTGTTGACATTATGAATGCATTTTCAGATTCATTAACGTCAAACAAATGACAAATGTTGGTCACTTAGTTTACTCCCTTGACCTTTTGATTTTGGTTTTCCACCCAATCACAATCTAGGTCGCTATTATAAATTACTAAATGTTTTCATCTGTCATTAGGCAACCTACTCGATAATATTTTATGACAACACACGACAGCAAATCGTTGGATATTTTTTTGTATGTTTTCACGAACTTTTTAACCTATTGTGGGAACTAAATAAATAAGAAGCTATTTAATAACGACTCTAAGGAAAATGAAAAATTGATACTCAGTGTATTTTATTTTTCGAATTTTAAATAGAATACAAGTAATATTTTTGGAGCGATTTTTACATATTTCTATAATCTTGACATAATATTACGAATTGTTTTTGAAAAATATGTAACAAATCAAGCGAATTCTTTAAAAATACTAATAATTAAATTTATTTTAAAAGTACATTATTACATCAAAATTGTAAATTAACTTATGAAATTATGAATGAAAATACTTGGCTTTAGTTTTAAAACTCATTAGTCGAAATAATATTAAAAAATATAAATTAACATTTATCAACATTTCAAGTAATCGATACCCCCACTTTTTGATGATTAATCTTTAAATTCTTAAAATAAATAATAATTCAAATAAATAAGTATTAATAAGTTTCATTATTATGACAAATAATAGTACTTTAGTATTACTTGATAAATTTATAAAACATTTTGATACATAAATATTTAAAAAAAAGTTGTACGATGCTAACTGTAATTTTCTTAAGTATACTGTATTTCAAAAACCGTTGAAAACACTAACAATTACTTACTATATAATTTGAAAAATGATTTCAGAACACAATTTAATCAACACTCAAGGGTATTTCATCTGACAATGGATTGTCTGTTGAAATATCATAATTATTTTAAAGTTACTTGAAGTAAAATATATAAATTATGAGTTATAGTAACTGTGAAATTAAGACATTAGTCGGAAAATCTTATACTTATGACTGACTCCGTCTTTGACTTATCTTGGCTAATCAATTTAAAACTTTGCGTTAATGGAACATTCTGAATTTTAGATGTATAGTTTGTTTCATCATTGTTGAAAAGTAATTAACGTCTAATCTTCGAATGATCCATTCCATCACACCACTCACATCCCTTCGATTAAGCGACACGTCAACGCTGTTAATTGCTCATGCACATGAATGCTACCTTATTATGCGATAACCTGGAGTGTTTCTCATTAAAATATTCATTAGAATTGGTGCCTTGAGGTTTCGTCCTACAAATTACACTGACAACAATTGTCCGCTTTGCCACGCGCAATGGTTGCATTACGTGAATTTATTAAAAAGGATGAATGATAACGGTTAAATAGAGTATATTTGACTTTCAAAATGGGTTTAAGTATGTATAGCGTATGACTCTAGGTAAAATTCCAGCCATATACCCACTACATAAAATCATAAAGTATTGTTTTGAAAAATAATTGCGTAATAAAAAAGCAAGAGTATTTCATAAATGAGTTTTACAAAAAGTAATTACCACAATCTTTAAACCGTTTAACCTATCCACATATAGATAATTTGAGTAATTAACACACATCCTTCCTTCTTATTTTATTTGTGTTAAAAAAATACAAAATTAATGATATATTTATTAAATTAAACTCTTCTATTAAAATATAATTCTTTATAATTAGTATTTTTTTTTTTTAGGTACACCATACGTACTACAAATGTGACAACAGATACTGATGTGATAAATAAATCAATTCAATCCCTTTCTCAACAAGCCAGTGATCTTAAAATAGGCGTAACAAGTTTTTGTAAGGCATTTCCGTGGCATTTAGTTCTGGATATTCGATTGGAATTTGTTCAATTGGGAACAGGCTTTATGAAACTATTCGGCAAATGTCTGCAACAATTCGGTGAGCGATTTAAAAGAAAAAAATTAAATATTGGTAGAAAAAAAAATTACATTTTCTAAAATTCTATTGGCATGCAAAAATCAATATAATAGTATGTGTTCTCATTTCCTTCTTTGAGTAAGATGATGATATTGTTTTATTAAAAACACCAAAAATAGCCTAATAAAATTATTCAAATTATTAATTAACATTATAAAAAACCTAATTAAAAAAAACATTATTCTTATTTACAATTTTTTCTATCCATATTCCATGAAATAAACTGTAAACACATTAGATTTATATTTTTTAATTAAATGGGATAGGTAATACAGCAGAATTTTCAAATTATATGAATCCGTATAATACAAAAAAAAATTTTATTTTAAAATTTACTATGTAATCGTACATAAAAATACAGGTTAACATCAAGTTTAATTTGATATATATATTTTTAATTCACACAAATATAATGATAAAAAAATAAAATACATTAAATTAAAATATTCATATAAGTAAAATGTTTAATACAAATTAAATATTCGTATAATTTGTTCAAATTATATGGTAAAGACTAATCACTTATTACAAATATTATTTAAAATAATAATTTGGAACTTAAAAATAATTAACTCAAAAATCCACAAAAATACTTAAAAATTACGTGTGAGTATTTTGGGTTAATATTTTCAGCGCTAATCACATACTGACCTTATTAATAATTTTTTTGATTTTTTAGGTTAATTTTTTTTTATTTTTAATTAATATTTTCAATATATTTTTAATTTTAAATTTGTTCAAATTTTCCATAATTTAAAAATAGCCAAATAATAGTGATGGACATATTTTATCTATACGTCATAAAAAACATACTAGTTAATATTCTAATTTATTTTATTTTATTTTGAAAGTATTAATAAAAATACTAACATTTGAAAAATTATCATTCGTACAAATGTCATATTATTGGTATATGAAATAATTTTTTTTATTTTACATGATACCATTTCTTTTATATTTTTTAATGCAAACAGTTAGTGGTGAATTTTTGTGACAGCCGACAGACATAAATGAGATTTCATAAAAGTTTTTCGATTGTAGAAAGAACCCTTAAAATAACGTTTCGGTCTATGTAAGTTTTATGTTAAATTATCTAATAATATTCATGAAATCAGATATTCTGTTAAAATTATAACTAACGTTTGACATATGTCACACTGTTAACGTATTTTTAACATTTCTCATTTATTTTATTAATTGAAATTAAGTAATTATGATACAATTAAAATGTTAACAGTATAATATTATATAGTGTGATTTATCAAGAATACTCTACCCATATTTTACTTATATAATGATTTTTTCATACACATTTACGAATTAAAAGTTGATTTATTTCACGAACCATAGTAAATATCAAGTTTATTGTAATTAAAATATTTTATAAGGGTAGAATAACTTTTGAAAGTTAATTGGGAACTTATAATTATCTTTTAACTATTAAATGGAGAATTATTATTATTAAACTATTTATCTCTCTGAAAAACATTTCTTTTGTGAGAGAGCTCGGGAAAACTTACATACCCATGCGCAATGGAATACAAACTTGGTTCCTATGCATCGAGGTACGTGCGTTTTAAACTGAGCTAAATAGGCCTCTTACTATTGGAATAAATTTTAATTTTAAGAAATTAGCATATCATTATTTTGAATAGTACAATCAGATAATTTTTGAACTAAGTCATTATTATTTTTACTGAATAGCTATTGAGTTTTTAAACAGATGAAATTATCATTACCACGTAAGTAGTCATATTTTAAGTTGAGAGAGTTTAAATTTTTTTAAAATAATTCTGTTGTGATTAAAGGAGATTTAGGAAAATATGAAAAACATTCGCGAATCATATAACACCTAAAAAATAAATTCACAAAGTACAATAGTTATTTAAAGTATTAATATTTACATAATTAGAAAATAATTATTTATCTTTAAGAAAATTTTAATACGGATAATGTTTATAGTAGTATGTTAAACAAAAGCTGTTTAACTATTGATTAGTGTGAGAGTCATTTATTATTTAAAAGTAAACCATCGCTATACTCAATTAACATGATGATTCAATTATTTTATTTTATATCTATTTTTACGAATAAAATTTTTCATACAAAATATTCTTTATTAATTAAAACGTACTTATATAAGTACGTTTATAAAAAATAGCAGTCGATATAATATTAGATCGACTGTTTGCAAGCTAATTGGCAAAAAAACACATTTTTATCAACAATTATTGCTACTAAAACATGAAAGTAACTTATGAATACTTTAAATCAATCAAATCTGAACATTCTTGGTAAAATGGTACTTATGCCAATTAGCCTGCAAATATTCTATATGTGTATTATAAATATTGTTATTTCAAATACGCGTTTTTCATTTAAATGTAAATTACTTATGCATTGTATGTTATTTCCTTGAAGCATTTTTTTCAGTGCCCTTAGATAAAATTTTTTTAAGCTGTTCATCTTAAATATATAAATAAATAATAAACAGAAAATAGTACAAAACTTTTATAAGATTACAAAAAAATTTATTCCATAGCATTTCGAATGTAAAATCTAGCTTTTTATTTACAATAGTATAAACTTAGTATTTTTACTCTTGTTTAGTGAACTTAAGATTTTTTAAAAAGGTGAATTCATTGTGAAGACATTTACACAATTTATCTAAAAGCTTATGAATTATTAATATTACTTATCTCTCATTCACCTCGTAGATTTACACAAACTTATGATAATTTGGTCGATTTTAGATTCTTTATCAGATAGTATAATTTTAAAGCAATTACCTAAAAAAATAAATAACACTTGCACGTTTATTTAATACTACGAAACACGAATTTTATGTATTTTGGCGTAACTGAGAATACTTTGTTTTTTGAAGGATTATCTCTTATTAATATAAATCTCAACGGAAGTGAATATGAAATTTCCTCGAAAGAAAAACGATTGAACAAACTGCTACAATATTAATTTTCATGATTTTAGCTATTAAATGAATTTCATTAAATAATTTAAATGTAAATTCTACAATAAATGAATGCATATCAATATGTAAATTAAGTGAAAATGTAATTTTTGTTTATAACCAATAATAATTGTTTAGATATTCTCTTTATTCAAATGAAGAATTCGAACATTTTATTTTGCATTAACATTAACTGTAGTGTATGAAATAATGAAATCAACTTAATGCCTTTATATCTAACATACAAATTAAAAATATATCCATTAAATACAAAAGAACAATATAATGCACTTATTCGTATCAAATATGATGTTGGATACTTAATTATTGTGTATATTTGATTTTTAGGCCGCTCAGTTCACACATACTTCAAAATTAAAAGACCAAGGAACGTTCGGCTGTCTTTTAAAGGAATTGTGAATAGAGCCAATTCCCCGTTCGTCTTAACCTTATGTCTACCAGAGCCGCTGAATCATCATACGGTAGAGGTACTTATATTTTGATATACATTTGCAAATCCATTCATAGAAATAGGTAGACTATTGCTTTATTTTATGTACGAAATCCCATATTAACCTACAAATAAAAATGAAAAATATGTCTCCGTTTATATTAACTTTTTCGGGCTATTATATATCAGAGCAAAAATTCTCGATGGTAGTAGTCTACGTTATGTGAGTAATAGCTCAAACAGAAGAAAAGCGACGGATTTTTTCTACAGCTTAGGTAGCTCATTTAATAATATCTGTGCGGTAGGCAATCCACGAAATCTGCAAAAACGTCATCGCAATAGTTGTCTAACATTATGCCCAAGGCCGCTACTGTACAAATATAGATGTACTTATATTTCAACATTGTATACTTCAAAAACTTTAGTGTGACTCAAATTTAAGAAAATATACAAAAAAAAAACTTCCAAGAGAAATATTTTCAAGTGTAATTCTACAATTATAAAACAATCGAAATTTTTATGATTTAATTTTCTTTTTTGTTGCATCACTAATAACAATAAAAAAATATATTTGATAAACTAACTTAATCTTAATATGATTTCAAAACAATATTCTAATAACATTCGAATCATATATTTTAAAAACGATTATTCTAATTTAAAGGTATATATAATATATATATATTGATATTATATCAGCCCTATCCGCATGTCGTCAACCATCGTCCCTTCCATGACGAAAATTCGTAATTTTTTATATTTTCCGACTCGTCTTTACACTTTAATGTACGTCTTAACTCGTTAATTGTTTGTTTATTATACCACTTACGATCTAAACGCCTCTGCCACTTTGCGTTTTAAGATTTGATTTTCAAGCTTTAATATATATTCATTAAAATCGGTATACTCATTTTCACTCCTCTCTTCTTCTTTCTTCGTTTCTTAAAATATAAACAACTTATCACATTAGTAGCAGGCAATCGTCATTTTAATATTAAGAGTTGCACGTTACAAGTAAAATAAAAATTTTACTTTTAAATTAAAATTTTAAAATTTAATCAATTTTTTTTTTATTAACATCAATCTGAAAAACACTAACTTTCTTATAATTTATAATTAAAAATAATTTTTATTTAACATTTAGTGAAAAAAATACAAATTAAATGCATAAAAATACTTATAAATAGCTAAAAAATGACATACATAAGTGCAAATTGGCGAATTCTTTTTCTGTTTAGCCCTTTTTGAGAAGTCATCAGTACCCCCAAGCATATTTTGTCAATCTTTTAAAATCTTGTAAGAATAAAATAAATAATTCCTTATAGTATCGTATAATTAATAACTGTTTTTTCTATATATATTTTAAATTACTATATATGTGTGCCGCTCGTTTATATAGAATATGTTATTTACTTTAACCTTAAATATAAGTATTGGTTTCACAAATTGTTGAATTGAATAATAAAATTGTAGAGTAAAAATAAATGTAATGTATAATGTTCTTATTCATTTATAAATAGATAAAAATGAGGTGGGTACATTATTTGAAGCGAAGTATGAAAAAATATTTTGGATCTTAAGTACCCCCTGATTTAAATTACTAATTTCACCTATAGCAAAATAAATCCCACAACATCTTTAAAACAACACAGTGTAAAATTTCCCACCTACTTGAATATTGAAATCTACCATCATAGTATTAAATTGAATACAACGAAAATCCAATTATTTTTCAAATTTTCTATACAATATAACAAATTGGGAATAACAGTTATAGCTGACGTTTCAAACTCGGTACAGAGTTCATAACGTCAGCACAAAACTAAACACATGAGTATATCTGTAAATATTCTAAATAATAACAGATGTAAGTATCATCATTATTATCAATATAAAAAACTTTGGTGAGAAAATGCAAAGCATTGAGAAAAAATTGGTAGTTCAATCAGCTTGTAATAAATTTATATATATATATATATATATATTTAATTTTAATTTAATTGTATGTAAATATTATAATAATTATCAAGTGATGTAATTAAATGCGAAAATCGTACTTGATTTGTACATTAAAGCAAATAAATTATAAAAAAAAAAAACATTTTTTTTTTAATAATTATTAAAATATAAGCCCAAATATTCAATACTGAATATATTTTATAATTATTTTTGATCGCTTATTTTTATGTAGTATTCAGCTACTACTACTTCCTTTTTTGCAATGGCGTTTTGGGTGGGATACGCGGGACTTATATCCACTGATAATTTATTTAACTAATGTATACCCTAGAAAAATAATACTTATGTACTATTTATACTAAAGGGTATATGCTCACAAATCAGTGTTTACCATAAAATAAACTAAAAGAGTTTTTCGCGAAAATAGCACTACTTACTTAGTTGCCAAAATAAAAATATCCGATACCAAATGGTTATAATTTACTATCACATCTATTATTAATAAATATTTGGTATCAAATATTCTACTCAAACATTCCATGTATCATATTATTGTATATTGTTCACTATTTAGCTTTTGAGTAAAATTACATCGGCTATATCTTATACAATAATAAATAATTTAATCAACTTTAATTTAAATTACTGAGAACATACTTATGATTTACATAGACCAAAATTATTTTATTTCAAGTTAAAACTTTCATTATCTTTTTGGAGTTTGATATAGTAATTTGATAATTACAAACTTTTATTATCGTTTAAGTTTTTAACTTTGTTATGGAAAATATTTAGTAAAAAACTTGTAAACTAAAATTTCATTTACGAAATACTTAAAAAAATTAAAACTTTACAAATATTTTTAACAGCTACCTATAAAATTTACTTTCAGGGCTTAGAGTTCAAAGGTCAAATGGTATTGTGCAACGAGTCAGGGTCTCTACTATTTGTTGGTTCACCATTATTAGACGGTCTAGACAGTTTGACCAGTCGCAGTCTTTTCATATCTGATATACCTTTACACGATGCCACAAGAGATGTCATTTTAATAGGAGAACAAGCAAGAGCTCAAGTAAGTCGTTTTTTAATTTGAAAAATTGTCTGATAAAATAAAGCCTAAGAGTACTGAAGCACATCCTATTACCTTAAGTAGTTGCACCACTGGAAATGACTAAATTTTTTTTTATGAGTTATTAAGGATATATTAAAAATATTAATTGAACTCAGAATAAGAGCAAATACATAAACAAATTAAATATAATATTTTCATATCTTTTTCATTTCTATTTATATCTACGTATATTGATTTTTAAAATAGAAATGTAGAATGTAGTAAGGTAAATTTTAATTAAATGAGTAATTGTAAATACATTTTTATAGGAAATACGAAGGTTTTTATTATTTGTTGAAACTGAAGAAAATTACTATGTATTTAAAAAATATAACTATTCAATCTAAAATAATGTTTTCTGGATTTTTCTAGAGAAGTAATGAATTTACAATGAATTATTTTACATTTACCTTTTTTTTACTCTATTCAATATTATTTAATAATTTTTACTTATTTACTGAAAATTAATAAAGTTTTACGGACTACTAATACATGAACTATTATTATACAATAATCATATATGTAATCGATTGAAATTTTACTTCTTTGATGTAGAAACACAATTAACAGAGAATAAGGTGAATAGTTACCCTATAAAACAAAATCCAATAACTCAATTGTTTTGAAGTTTAATTTTTATGAATCAATATACTAGTAATCGTATACACATTCATTATAAATTAATACCAATTCAATAATTAAGTTTTACTTTTATTTCATGAAAATATTCCTATATGTTAACAAAATGCCTATTCGAAACGCCGTGACATGCATATTATATCATTTTCAGCCAATGTACATTTAAATATCAGCATTGACACAAAACAAAAGACTTTACAAGTTTAGTTGTCTAAATTTAGAAATTATTACAATATTTTATAAAAATCAAAGATTCAATTTAACTTAATTGGCTTAGTGTAATCACCAGATGAGTTAATTTATTTTATTTTTTTAGGAAAAGGAATGTTATCAATATTTTTTCATTAAAAGCAATGATAAAATGTTTTTTCTAAATTAAATATTTCCACAAATAATAGAAATATAGAACTCGTTTTTGGACTAAATTATATAATAAAATGATATTTATTCAAAATTAACAAAAAATTATGTTTTGAATCAATTAGACTTATCTGGTTTTTACACCAAGTCCTTCAATTGAAATTCTAAGAGCTCATTCTAACTACCAAGTTTTGTTCCTAAATTTAAAAATTTTATTTCAAAATTACTCTATTTGTTCGTTAACTTTCTTATAACTAATATTGCTAAGAAAGTTTTTGTTCATAATTTAAAAAACAACTGTTTTTACTATTAAAATATTGAATAGCATAAAATACTGTTATTTGCAAAAGGCCTTTTATTATACAGACATAATATAATAATTAAAAATAATTATATTTTGACTAACTAGTGAATATATAAAAAAAAATAAGTCATAGAGGATTTATATTTTAATTGATGCTTGTCTTGTTAAAAAGAAATATGTTTCAATTAAAGTTTATATAACTAATATAAACAGCATATGTATATGAACTTTTTGTTAGGCACGTGTAAATTTACTATATTTCCTGTATAATACGCGTAAAACAAAACATGGAATTGTAGAAAACCCGCTGTAGTCCATTATTGTATAAGACATTAAAGTTTTAATGGCAAATTATGGAAAACAGCCAACGAAAATTAAAGGCATCCATCGATATACACTACACATTAGTTTTAAAAGTTTTAAAATTATGTCAGAATCCTAAATTATTCTAAAACATTCGTTGACTAATTAAATTTATCGTAACATAAAAGCAAACTGGAACTCATTGATTTTGTACGATAAAGAAATATGCCAAATAACTTCTAACCATCATGAATTGGACTTAAATAGGAAAATTATTTCGTTAATAAAATAATTTCTACTATCTAAACTGCTTTCATTGACAATACGCAATATGACGTTAAAAATAAAATAGAAATTAGAAAAATAAGAAATCGTATGAGTTCAACTATTTTCACATCATTTTGATTTACAAACTTCTTATTTGCGGTTTGCTATCCAAAACACTCGCAGCTGAATTAATTCTTATATGTGGCCTTTGTGGTTTACCGAACTGCCTGGAGAAGAGTTTTGTACGTGTATGTATATAACGAAGACGTGTATAACCACAATAAAGGCAGACGAGTTCAATAGTTTGATACGAGAAGCACAATAAAACTGACAGCTGTAAGATATATGAAATCCCAGTTCGAAAACCATTTGTAGTAGCTCGACATTGAATAACTCATGTTGAGTAATAAATTTGATGTTGGGAATTTATCCTATAGTGTCATTTACCCTTCACATCAAAGGTAAAAGTGATAATTATAAAAGTACACTTCTATTCTATGTATGTTTCCTGTACGTTCGATAAATACAGTTATTAAATATACGTTGTCTAATAATCAAATTGCTGAGGAAGACTTTTCATTAAGAGCAAGAGCATTTGAGTGAAAATCCACATAGGACTCACTATAAAAATATTTACGGCTACACTTATAAAATGGGTAATAATAATAAATGGTTAAATTTTCTTAAGGGTCATTATTCGCCGTAATATTAAAAAATGGACTTCAAACGTAGGTTTATACACTGATATTGTTTAAAATCAGAGTATTAAAATTAAAAAAATCTTTTGATAATACTATCGAGGAGAATTTTATTACTATATTCCATGATCGTAAATTTCAATTATGTCTACAGACAAAAATGTCTAAAATAAAAAGAGACCCATAGGTAAAAATGGGAAAGAAATTTAATGTGCAATGAACACCAAGCCATTGATTGCAGATTGTTTCTATTGAACAAACAAATATTGTACGCACATTGGAAGAGAAAAACCCTTAAGCTTTCTTTTAGTATACTTAATTTATGGACACTAATATTTTCAAAACCACTTTCCAAAAATATTTATAATTCACAACGCTTAATTTTTATTAAATTTTTTTTCTTCTGACGGAATCTATTTTTAATAACAGGGATACCGAATGGCTACCACTTTCAGTCTTTACTATTTGCACTAAAATTTAACCAAAATAATCACTAATAATAGAATAAATAACTGATGTAGAAAATAAAGTTGATTTTAATTACTGTCAGATTTGGGTTGTGTATTTATAGTTAACTATTAGTATAGTATTGAGAAATGTGAATTTTTAATTTATTAATATTTTTTATCGACTATATTTTGTTGTTTTTAATAAAATAAAAATAAAATAAAGTTTATATTTTTAACATAATTCTTGGTCATTTCATTGATTTTGTTATTTTTTCCTATTCACTATTACAAAATTACTTTTGCCATTTTTTTATGAACGTCTGAGATCTATTGGATTAATTCCCATTTTTTTGGTTAATATTTCCGTGGCCAATTTTGGTTTGAATATTTTTATCTAGAATCCAAATCATTATTAAAAATGCTTTTGTATGTTGGCTCTATTTAGTGAATGTTATTATACAAACCATATGAAATCATATCTAATTATTAGTTTACTATATTTTTTTTTGCTTTCCTTAAATATAAATTATTAGTTCAGAGAAAAAGAAACATAGAAAAGAAAATACTTTCTAAAATATTTTTAAATTTGTCATAAGTACATAACATAAGTTCTAAGTTATTTTGAATATTAAATAAAATTGTTCCTTCAAATTCGCAGTATAAAGTATAAATAAATTTAAACTATACTGTATATATCTATAATTTTTTTAAAAAAGATTATGCATAAATAAATAATTTCTCAATTTTTTTTAGCTTTAATGTTAAGCTTATATTAAATAAAATAATGTTTTTTAAGCGTTATATTTTAAACTACGAAAACCTTTAGCTTAGTAATACATAAGTATATTTAAAAATTGTGACGGGAAAGAACTCATTAATCTAATGCGGTATTTTTATGTTAAATATTTTATTTATAAAATTAATAAAAGTGTATTAGCGTTCACAAATTTTACTTTTTTAAACTATAACACAACTTGTACAAGCTTTAAATTTTAATCGATAAATACCATTTTAACACTTGTCCATCAACTTATTGCTTAATTTTAAACAATATCAAAAACTTTACCTGGATAAACATTTTACTTACGTGTGAATACATAAAGAATAATTTAAATGCAGTTGGGACTAAGAAAAAATAACTGAAGTTTATATATGAAAATCAGATTACATTGGTATATTGTTTTTCTTATTCGTTTTATTCTTTACTTTATTATTCAAAAAAGAAAACAGCATTGGTAATATATACAAATATATATATCAACATTTTTTTAAATTTTTTATTTGACTCTAATCAAATTTAATAGTTTTATTATAAATATTATTTGTATTTAAAACCTTCAATTAAAATATTATATCCAATCTTTTAACTTTAATTTTAATATATTTAAATATATTTAGTATGTGTTCATAATAATTAAAAAATTAAATGTATGCATTTTAATCAATTTATAATAATATTTGTATACATTTTGATAAATTTATACCACACTATTTGTTGAAATAAAAATTACTTACTTGCATAAATGTGATAACTGATTAATATATCGATTCTCGTGACGAAGGATTTCTAAAATTAAATGGTCAACTTGAAATTTTCAGCATTAGATTTGCTATGAGCCATCATTGCTTATTATTTATTCATCTTTAATGCCATTAGTATTATTTCCTTTTATTAATATAAGTCATATAACATAAATTATTACATGAAGAAGTAAAATTTACTGTATAATCCATTAGAGACAATCAGACACCTATTAAACTAGTTTGTAATCAACTGTAAAGTTAAATTATATAGTAACCATAAATAAAATTTTCTACTATTCATAGCTAATACATAAAATAAATAACACAGAAATTTTCCTCAATTTTCGGTAAAATATTCTGTATTAATTAATTAATGTTATTAGGTAATTAACAATAAAATAATATTAATTATTACGT